ACCTCAATTAGAATACCAAAATTCTTCTGTGATCTAGAAAAAATAATGGTAAAACTCACGTGGAAACCCTATACCCTGAATAGCTAAAGCAATGTTCAACAAAAGCAAAGCCAGAGACATGATACCAAATTTCAGGACATACTATTACATGGAAGTTATTGTGGGGAGCAACTCGGACTAGACTAAGTTACTGGAATTAAGACTTAATCTATGCATCTGCTCTCCCACAATATGGCGCTGGGAGAGGAGTAAACAACTTCTACACAGCTGCCTCCAGTTCGACCAATAACCTGCGGGAGCTGATCCTGCTCCTGATTGGAGGAGAGCAGCGTACTCGGCGTGTGGGTAGCAGAGTTGGAATTGGTGGAAGAGGACTATAAAGGAGGAGAGAGACAACATGCACCAGGAACATCTAAGGGGAACATCCAGATAACATCTGAGCAGCCCCCGAGAGAGCCAGCCGGCAGTGTGCCGCTCCCCCGCAGAAGTGGGGAAAGTGGCAGGGGGAGCCGCCCTTCCACGGAGGTGGAAGGGTCAGCAGCCAACCCGGGAAGGACCAGCAGCAAACCCGGGAAGGGCCGAGCAGACAAAAAAACAGCGCAGGGTCCTGTGTCGTTCCTCCACGAAGAGGGGGAGCGACAAGTTATATTGAATAAAGCCTAGTACTGGCATAAATATAGACATGTACACAAATGGAACAGAATAGAATCCCCAGAAACCAGTCCCTGCATCTACACCCAACTAATTTTTGACAAAGGTGCTATAATCAATCACTGGAGAAGTGACATTCTCTTCAACAAATGGTGCTGGGTAAACTGGATCTGTGTGAGCAGAAATATGAAAGAAGACCCCTACTTTACATGTTATATAAAAATCAACTCAAAATGGACTGAGGTTCTAAATCTGTGACCTGATACCATCAAATTTCTAGAGGAAAATAATGGGGAAACTGTATAAGATATTAACATAGGCAAAGACTTCTTGGAAAAAAAAAACAGAAGCACAGACAATAAAAGCAAAAATAGACAAATGAGATTACATCAAGCTAAGAGGCTCTGCATTGCATAGAAAGCTTTTATTTAATAAATATAAATTTCATAAGTACAACTTCTAGATTATAGTGGCTCTTCCCCCCCTATCTACCCTCCTGCCCCTAAACTGTCCCACCTCTCTCATCTCATTCTTCATTAAGATTCATTTTAATCATCTTTATATGCAGAAGATCAACTCTAAGTAAAGATTTCAACAGTTTGCACCCACACAGACAAAGTACTGTTTGAAGACTAGTTTTACTGTTAATTCTCACACTACAACACATGGGGAGCAAGTGCGCAGTAACTCCTGTTGTTGATTTAAGAATTGACACTCAGCCGGCATCGCAGCTCACTAGGCTAATCCTCCACCTTGCGGCGCCGGCACACCGGGTTCTAATCCCGGTCGGGGCGCGGATTCTGTCCCGGTTGCCCCTCTTCCAGGCCAGCTCCCTGCTGTGGCCAGGGAGTGCAGTGGAGGATGGCCCAAGTGCTTGGGCCCTGCACCCACATGGGAGACCAGGAGAAGCACCTGGCTCCTGCCATCGGATCAGTGTCGTGCACCAGCCGCAGCTCGGCGGCCGCAGCAGCCATTGGAGGGTGAACCAACGGCAAAGGAAGACATTTCTCTCTGTCTCTCTCTCTCACTGTCCACTCTGCCTGTCAAAAAAAAAAAATTGACACTCTTATTTATGATGTCAGTGATCACCCGAGGCTCTTGTCATGAGCTGCCAAGCCTATGGAAGCCTCTTGAGTCCACGAACTCTGACATTATTTAGACAGGGCCATAATCAAAGTGAAAGTTTTCTCCTCCCTTCAGAGAAAGGTACCTCCTTCTTTGATGGCCCATTCTTTCCACTGGGATCTCATAGAGATCTTTCATGGTGGTCATTTTTTGCCACAGTGTCTTGGCTTTTCATGCCTTAAATGCATTTAGGGGCTTTTTAGCCAGAGTGCTGTTTAGGGCATTTGTCATTCTATGAGTCTGCTGTGTGGTCTGCTGCCCATGTTGGATCATTCTCTTCCTTTTAATTCTATTTACTAGCAGATTCTTGCTTTTATTTATGTGATCCCTTTGACACTTAATCCTATCTTTATTATCAGTTATGAACTTAAACTGATCACTTTAACTAGTAAGATGGCATTGGTACCTCCAAATAGGAATTTGGAGCCTATGGCAAGTTTTTAGCTTTACCCTTAGGGCTAAGTCCAAGGGAATGCGTGTCAAACTGTACCTCTCCTCCCTCTCTTATTCCCACATTATTTTTAACAGATCAATTTTCAATTGGATTTAACCACCTAAGAATAATTCTGAGTTAAGTAAAGCGTTCAACCAATGGTATTAAGTAGAAAAAGAAAATACTAAAAAGAATAAAATAGTAAGTTGTTCCTTGACAGTCAGGACAAGGGCTGATCAAGTCATTTCTTCTCAAAGTGTCAGTTTCACTTTTACAGATTTCCTTTTAGGTACTCGGTTAGTTGTCACAGATCAGGGAGAAAAATATTTGTCCCTTTGGGGCGTGATGTTTTCAAGAATCTTCCATTTGTTTCAAATGGATGGATTTCATTATTTTTTTTTACCGCTATGTAGTGTTCCATAGAGTACATATCCCATAATTTCTTTATCCAGTCCTCCACTGACAGGCATTTAGGTTGATTCCATGTCTTAGCTATTGTGAACTGAATTGCAGTAAACATCGAGGTGCAGATAGCTCTTTTATTTGTATCCCTTTGATTTCTTTCTTTCTTTTTTTCCTAATGGCTCTGGCTAAAACTTTCAGGGCTATATTGAATAGCAATGATGAGAGCAGACATCCCTGTCTAGTACCAGATCTCAGCAGAAATGCTTCCCACTTTTCCCCATTCAATATGATGCTGGCTGCAGGTTTGTCAAAAATTATTTTGATTGTGTTGAGAATTGTTCCTTGTATACACAATTTTCTTTGAGTTTTCATAATGAAAGGGTGTTGTATTTTATCAAATGCTTTCTCTGCATCTTTTGAAATAACCACATGGTATTTGTTCAGCACTTGGTTAATCTGGTGTATCACATTGATTCATTTGTGAATGTTGAACCATCACTGCATACCAGGGATAAATCCCACTGTGTCTTCATGGCTCAATTTAGGTATGTTGTATGTGCCCAGGAATCTATCCATTTTTGCCTGATTTCCCAGTTTGTTGGCATGGAACTCTTTGTAGTAATTTCTGATGACTCTTTTTATTTCTGTGGTATCTATTGTTATATTTCCTTTTTCATCTCAAATTTTATTGAATTGGGTCTTCTCTCTCCCTTTTTTGGTGAATTAGGCCAATGATGTGTCAGTGCTATTAATGTTTTCAAAAAGCCAGCTCTTCATTTTACTGATCTTTTGTATTTTTGGGGGGGGCATTCAATTTTATTGATTTCTTCTGTAACTTTAATTATTTCTCTTCTACTAATTTTGGGTTTGTTCTGCTGTTGTTTTTCTAGATCCTTGTGATGCATTTATTTGGTTCCTTTCCAATTTCTCGATGTAAGAACCTATTGCTATAAAGTTTCTTCTTAATACTGCTTTTGCTGTATCCCATAAGTTTTGATGTGTTGTGTTGTCATCTTCATTTGCTTCCAGAAAGTTTTTGATTTCTCTTTTTATTTCTTCTATGACCCACTGTTCATTCAGGAGCATGTTTTTCAATCTCCATGTGTTTTCATATGCTCTAGGGATTCCTGAGTTGCTGATTTCCAGTTTCATTCCATTGTGGTATGAGAAAATTCATTGTATGATTTCATTTTTTTTTTTGAATTTGCTGGGACTTGCTTTATGGCCTAGTATATGGTCTATCCTGGAGAAAGTTCCATGCACTGCTGGGAAGAATGTGTGTTCTGCAACGGTAGGATGAAAAGTTCTCTAGATATCTGTTATCTCCATTTGGTCTATAGTGTCAATTAAATCTGCTGTTTCCTTGTTGACTTTCTGTCTGGTTTATCTCTCCATTGCTGACAATGGAGTATTGAAGTACCCAAATACTGTTGTATCAGAGTGTATATGTGCTGCTTGTCCCTCTTGCTCCATGTAACTGAAGCTAGTGTTGTTGCCTTTAAATACATTTTACAAACACCATCTCTAGTCCACTCCATCCCTGTGAAAATTCTAAGGGGGAGCAAACAAAGGGAAGCCCTTGGGCCATCCTTTAAGGAGTCAGTGGACAACTCAAAACACACATCTGTAATTCTTTGAGAACAAATTTGGTTTCACCATCTCTGGCACCAACAAGCACCACTGAGATGACTATGGGAGGTTGGAGGGTACATGGATGAGTTCAAGCACCGCAATATTCTAAGAGAATTCACCAACTTCATTTTCCCTAAAGCATTGTACTATTTGCTTGTTCTTAACCCCTGGGGGAATAGAGATGAATGGGTAATTTATTTCTTATATTGTGGATTGGCCAAATGTGTACAAGCAGGGTTGTTGGCAGCAGGGAATGTGATTAAGACTACAAATTAGCACAACAGCACTTTCTCTGCCTTTATTGACTCAATTTACAAATTCAAGTCTAGTCCAGACTAAGAGCAAGGAGAAACAGACAGCTCTCAACGTGATGCACTGTAAAGTTGTACTGCAAATGACGTCCTGGATACTGGAAGGAGTAAAAAAAAAAAGTAACCATTTTTTAAAAAATTTTTGCCACTTAATTTATAAAGTAGTTTAATCAATTTCTGTGTACAAATGAAAAGAATGCTTATAGATACTTGGGTTTTGTGTTCACAAATTGTAAGCTGCAGATCTATTGAGTAATATATTATGACTTCATAACCAATATTCTTATTATAACCCATTGCTCCAAAGTTTAAAGCATATATAGGTATTAATTATAAAAAACAAATACCAGTCTTGTAAATGCTATGTTAACAGCTTGATAGAGAGTTCAGAATTCACAAATTATCAAATATTTCAAGTTTTATTTGATGCTATTTTTTTCTAGCCAGAACCACCTGTTCCAGATATATTTCCTCTTTACCTAGAAATGTACATTGTGGTGGACAAAGCTTTGGTATGTGTTTGCTTTTGTTTTACTTTTAAGTACTCAGTGCAAATGTATGATTCTATATAGCTTTAGAGCAACTATAAGATTCTGATATTTTGGCCGGTGCTGCAGCTCACTAGGCTAATCCTCTGCCTGCGGTGCCGGCACCCCGGGGTTCTAGTCCTGGTCAGGGCACCAGATTCTGTCCCGGTTGCTCCTCTTTCAGTCCAGCTCTCTGCTGTGGCCCGGGAGTGCAGAGGAGGATGGCCGAAGTGCTTGGGCCCTGCATCCGCATGGGAGGCCAGGAGAAGCACCTGGCTCCTGGCTTCGGATTGGCGTGGTGCGCCGGCATTAGCGTGCCACCGGAGCGGCCACTGGGGGTGAACCAATGGAAAAGGAAGATCTCTCTCTCTCTCTCTCTCTCTCTCTCTCTCTCCCTCTCCCCCTCTCCCCACTCTGCCTGTCAAAAAAAAAAAAAGATTCTGATATTTTTACTTGCTGATTATAGAAAGAATAGTGTGAAACAGGACTAGCTGAAAAGCCTGATGGTCAGAATTACACTAGGGCAATAAAATGTTTCATTTCAAATCTCTGTAACAACCCTGCAGGACAAAATGATTTTTTTTTCTGACTCATCTCATTTGTTTTAAAGATTTATTGATTCATTTGAAAGACAGTTACAAAGAGAGAGAGGGAGAGGCAGAGATCTCTCATCTGATGGTTCTTTCCCCAAATGGCTGCAATGGCCAAGGCTGGACCAGCGCAAATTCAGGAGCCAGGCACCTCTTCTGGGTCTTCTACATGGGTGGCCAGAGCCCAGGAACTTGGGCAATCTTCCACTGCTTTCCCCAGGTGCATCAGCACGGAGTTGGATCAGAGTTGAGGCAGAGGGGACTTGAACAGGTGCCCGTATAGGATGCCAGCACTACAGACCATGGCTTAATCCACTGTGCACTGCGCCGGCCCCAACCCTTCACATATTTAAGACTTCTTCTGATCTCATTCATATTCTTTTTAAATAATGCTGTTTGGTTACAATGAAATTCTTTAAGCTGTTAAGTTGTAATGTGGGGAAGTCATGAAGAGCAAGTAGTCGGTATTTTAAGGAATGTTTCCCCACATGAAATATTTATTAGGAAAAAATATAACTATATATGAGAACTGATTGTAATAATATGTGCAGAATTTTGTAGCATTTTTTGTATTACACCTGTTTCAGAGTATTGTTTTCCTGATTTAGAAACCACTAGATCTTTGATACCCATAAACAGTTTGAGGGCCTCTAAATGATTGAGGATATTTGGGTTGAAAACTTAGCTTGTAATCAACCAGATGTCGCTTTCTCTTCTATAATATTTCATATTATATGGATAAAATATATTTTCACCGTTTGTTCTGATGATGAACGTTTGATTGTGATACCTCCTCTGGAAGATCATAGAGATTATCAATAGGACTCATTATCAATTCCTTCCTAAAGGTTGTAGATCTTGTCAGGAATCCAGAGTTAAAATCAGTGGAGGAATTTGGAGATAGATACTGATATACTTGAAGATTTAGAAAAAAATGATAAAAGGACAATTTAAGAAAAAATGGAGACATTGAAATATTTAAGAAAAAATTGAGATACTTCAGTAAATATGACTAGGTTTGTAGGGACTATTTTGGATTAGGAGGTTTTTTATTTCAGGATTATGTTTTAAAAATTTGAGATTTCTTTTAAAAGCTTCTTAATTTCCTGGGTTGCAAGCTATATAATGATGTTTAAACATTATTTCTCTATTCTTATACTTATCTACATGTTATTTAATAACGCAAACATAGATCCAGCTATAAAATCTCGGTTACTAGGTATTGGTATTTAAGGAAGAAGCACACTGATATTTTCTTCAGTTCCTTAACAAAAATAAATCCACAATTTTGACCTAGTCAATTCAGCATATTGTGCTATAAATATAGAATTTAGCATTGGAAACATGCATAGAGACACACAAGTGTAACTTGAGCTACTCTAAAAGAATGCAAGTAAATGTTTTAGAATGTAGTTTGTCTTCTTCACATATGGTGAGGCTATCAGAGCAATAAAGAGAGACAGCAAGGTGGTAATGTGGTCAAGAGCCTTCATTGGGATTTCCCTTTAAGCAACGGGCAGGACAGCATAGGAGGGTTAGGATGATGGGCTAGTTTGAATAATTTCATTGGGCTCTGGAGTATAGGAGCTGTTCCTTGTCGTCTGATACCTGGCTCTGGGGTGATTAATGCAGGGTAAAAGTTGCCCTGAGTGTGAGAACGTGAAAAGAGGAAGTGATTGGATGAAGGCTTTGCATTAATTGGCTTGCGTATGAAAGGTGCACTTGAAGGTAAGTCATTTTCTATCTCTTAGAATTTGCTGTCCCTGAGAAGTGTGGTCAGCAAAACCCAAGATGTCAAAGCAAATATATACAGAAAAGAGAGGGATGGTCAGTACTGTGGCTCACATGATGAATACAGGAAATGAATAATGGGTGGAGAATGAGGCCAGGGATGACTGTGCAGAACTTTGCTTTTAAGTGTGAGAGAACGTTCTTTTCAGGAAACTGAAACATGGTTTAGTTTGTTTATTAACAGAGGGACATACAAATGGGTGAATTGAAGAATTAATATGCTATTTCGATTTTATCCTAAAGGCTATGGAGAATCATTGAAATTTTTAAAATAGGGGTGTGACTTATTTAGGTTTTAATTTTAGAATCATGATTTTGGTAATAGTATAGTGGCTGGATTGCTGGTGGGAAAATGGGAGAAGTAAGCATGTAAGATATTCCAGTAATCAAGGTAAAAACTTAAATGAGTGTTTTAAGACTCATAAATAAATAAAGGAACAATTTTAAAAGTTACTGATGAGATTCAAGCATCACATGTAGTGTTGTGTAGCTACCACCAAGATCATGATATTCAATAATGCCTTCACCACTTGTCTCTCTTATTTTATTCCTGTAAGGCACACCCAAAAGTGTCCCCCTACCTTGGCCTCATAGCCTTGGCAATCTGTAAGCTGTTTTCCTTTGTGATTTCATTGATATCTCATAAATAAATATTGCATATGCAGAGTATCTTTTGAATATTTGTTTTCCACTCAGTATAATTTTCTTGACATTTTTCCTAGTTGTTCATGTATCAACATTTCAGTTCTGTTTTAGTGTTTAGCAGTATTCTATGGTATGAATGCACTAGATTATTTAGTCATTTAATCACTAGAGGACGTTTAAGTTGTTTCCAGGTTTGGGTTATTATGACGAAAGCTATTATAGATGTTCGTATCCAGGTTTTGCATGTGTACAAATTTTCATTTCTGTGGGATAAATGCCCAAGAGTACAATGACTGGGTTACAGGGTAAGTTTGTTACTTGTTTTGAAAGTGTTTGCCAAGCTATTTTTCAGCGTAGTCATGCTAGTTAACACTCCCACAAGCAATATATGAGTGAACCAGTTTAATGTCTTATTATGAACTGTTGGAACCAAAAGCAAACTTCTGAGAATAGATATAGAATAAATCTCAAAAGCACAATGTAACAAATTGTTTTGAAATATGAAATTAATTCTGTTTTTCAGTATGAATACCTTGGCTCTGATAGCATGATAGTAACAAGTAAATTCATTGAGATTATTGGCCTTATAAATTCAGTAAGTATTTCCCTGTTTATATTAGACAAAATTTTTAGTTTGAAACGATAAATTGTATTAACTTGATGGAGTGTTTCTGAATAATTAAAACATCTATATGTAATGAGTATGGACTTCTAAAAATCCAATGAATTTTGGCATAAACAATATACATACTGCAAAAACTGTAATGTGAATGAGCAAAGTTGACATTTTCAGATTTGATTATGTTTGTAGCCCTTTCTATACTTTAGAAGAACAGTGGTTGTTTCTGCTTACTTTTTTTTGAATTGTTTTTTTAGTGGAGGGTTATTCTTGTGATTATGAAGTAAACTGAAAGTATATCATTGCACAAATTAAAAGGGAAATAAGAATGGATGAGGAGAGAGGGTGGAAGTGAGGCACCAAGGAAGCAAGGTCAGGTGGGAAAGAAATATCATTATGTTTTTAAACTGTAATAAATGAAACACAAGATGTGTTTCTTTTATAAGAATAAAAACTTAAAAAGATTAATTTTATATTTATTTGTCTCTCCTGTTATTAGATGTTCACCCAATTTAAAATTACTGTTATGCTGTCATCGTTGGAGTTATGGTCAGATGAAAATAAGATTTCTACAGTTGGTGAAGCAGAGGAATTATTGCAAATATTTTTAAAGTGGAAACAGTCTTATCTTAACTTAAGGCCTCATGATACTGCATATCTATTCATGTAAGCATAATATTTCAGTACTCTTAGATTAGGGAAAAAACAGATCAGTGATAATGAGATAATTATGTGGTTTTGTATATCAGCTTTTATATGTTTATTTATGCCTTGATTATAGTCTGTATATTACTCTTGCCACCTGCTGATTTTCTACTTATCAGGAAATATAAAAAATACTCACACTTATTTCTTTGCTTATCAACTTTGTACAAGGTGATTGAGATATCCAAAAGTTAAGCCTTCTTGGAACTCTTGTACATAGTATGTATCTGTGGTTTGAACTTGCAGGTTGTTAAGCCCAGAGCCTATACGCTTAACTCTACACAGAGATGGGACTTATTTTGCAACATTTGTGTTTCTATTATGAATTTTGATCAAGAATTTATAATGCAAGTTATAAGTATTTTGTTCTAATGGATTTTCTTCATTATTTTAAAATATTTTATAATTTCCAATTATAACTGTACATTTAAGCTTTTATTCATATTGAGTTTTTAGCAATAATAAGTAAATTCCTTTCAATAAATCTCTCACTTATGTATTTATCTTAGGTAAATATTGATGCTTATATAGAAAGCCATATGTTAATGGTTTTTTTCAGCTGGCATGTCAATTTTTCCTTTTCCATGTGTAAATTTGTTTCCATCACATCTCTTTGCTACTAGTAAATGCTATTGCACTTTTCAGCTTTTTTTAATGATTTATTTATTTCTTTGAAATGTAGAGTTACAGAGAAGCAGAGGCAGAGGCAGAGAGAGAGAGAGAGAGAGAGAGAGAGAGAGAGGTGTCTTCTATCTGCTTGTTCACTTCTGAGATGTCCGCAATGCCCAGAATTACACAGACTGAAGCCAGGAGCCAGGAGCTTCCTCTGGGTCTCCCACTTGGGTGCAGAGGCCCAAGGACTTGGGCCATCTTTTACTGCTACCCCAGGCCATAGCAGAGAGTTGGATTGGAAGTGGAGCAGCTGGGACTAGAATCAGTGCCCATATGGGATGCTGGCACTGCAGGTGGTGGCTTTACCAGCTGTGCCACAGTGCTGGCCCCACTCTTTTCATTTTTTTGCTAGTTTGATGGATATAAATCATTGTCATTGTCATTTAATTTGCTTTTTTTCTGATGACTAGTGGATCTGAGCACACTTCTGCTTGACTCTGCCTTTTGTAATTGACTCTGTCCATCTGTAATTGCTTTTTAATGTCTGTATTATTAATTTTTATGTATTTGGATAGGAGAGAGGGAAGGAGGGAGGAAAAAGTGAGAGAGAAAGAAATAGAAATATGAATCGTGCACTGATTCATTCCTGAATTGCCTGCAGTAGCTGGAACTGGCCCAGGTAAAGTCATTTCCACTGAGATCTGGTACCAGACAGGGATGCCCACTCTCACCACTGCTATTCAATATAGTTCTGGAAGTTTTAGCCAGATCCATTAGGCGAGAAAAAGAAATCAAAGGATACAAATTGAGAAAGAAGAAGTCAAACTATCCCTCTTTGCAGATGATATGATTCTTTATTTAGGGGATCCAAAGAACTCTACTAAGAGACTATTGGAACTCATAGAAGAGTTTGGCAAAGTGGCAGGACATAAAATCAGTGCACAAAAATCAACAGCCTTTGTATACGCAGGCAGTGCCATGGCTGAGAAAGAACTTCTAAGACCAATCCATTCACAATAGCTACAAAAACAAACAAATACCTTGGAATAAAATTAATCAAGTATGACAAAGAACTCTACAATGAGAATTATAAAATTTTAAAGAAAGAAATAGAAGAGGATACCAAAAACTGGAAAAATCTTCCATGCTCATGGATTGGAAGAATCAATATCATCAAAATGTCCATTCTCCCAAAAGAAATTTAGAGAGTCAATGCGATACCAATCAAAATACCAAAGACATTCTTCTCAGATCTGGAAAAAATGATGCTGAAATTTGTATGGAGGCACATGAGACCTCGAATAGCCAAAGCAATCTTGTACAACAAAAACAAAGCCGGAGGCATCACAAGACCAGCTTTCATGACATACTACAGGGCAGTTATAATCAAAACAACATGGTACTGGTACAGAAACAGATGGATAGACCAATGGAACAGAATAGAAACACCAGAAATCAATCCAAAATTCTACAGCCAACTTATATTTGATTAAGGATCCAAAACCAATCTGTGGAGCAAGGACAGTCTATTCAACAAATGGTGCTGGGAAAATTGGATTTCCACATGTAGAAGCATGATCCAAGACCCCTACCTTATACAAAAATCCACTCAACATGGATTAAAGATCTAAATCTACAACCCGACACCATTAAATTTTTAGAGAACATTGGAGAAATTCAATGTTCTTTGCACAGGCAAAGACTTCTTGGAAAAGACTGTAGAGGCACAGGTAATCAAAGCCAAAATTAGCAATTGGGATTCCATCAAATTGAGAAGTTTCTGTACTGCAAAAGATGCAGCCAGGAAGGTGCCAAGGCAACCAACAGAATGGGAAAAATATTTCCAAACTATGTGACAGATAAAGGATGAATAACCAGAATCTAGAGAGATCAAGAAACTCAACAACTAAACAAACAACCCACTTAAGAGATGGGCCAAGGACCTCAATGGACATTTTTCAAAAGAGGAAATCCAAATGGCCAACAGACACATGAAAAAATGTTCGGGATCACTAGCAATCAGGGAAATGCAAATCGAAACCACAATGAGGTTTCACCTCATCCCTGTTAGAATGGCTCACATACAGATATCTGCCAACAACAGATGCTGTCGAGATTTGGGAAAAAAGGGATAGTAACCCACTGTTGATGGGGATGCAAACTGGTAAAGCCGCTATGGAAGTCAGTCTGGAGATTCCTCAGAAACCTGAATATAACCCCATCATAAAACCCAGCCATCCCACTCCTTGGAATTTACCCAAAGGAAATTTAATTGGCAAACAAAAAAGCTGTCTACTCCTCTATGTTTCTTGCAGCTCAGTTCACAATAGCTAAGACCTGGAATCAACCTAAATGCCCATAACAGTAGACTGGATAAAGAAATTATGAGATATATACTCTATAGAATACTATACAGCAGTAAAAAAATTGAAATCCGTTCATTTGCAACAAAATGGAGGAATCTGGAAAACATCATGGTGAGTGAAATAAGCCAGTCCCAAAGGACAAATACCATATGTTCTCCCTGATCGGTGATAACTAACCAAGCACCAAAAGGAAACCTGTTGAGTGAAATGGACACTATGAGAAACAATGACTTGATCAGCCCTTGTCCTAGCTGTCGAGTAACAACTTAATACTTTATTCCTTTTAGTATTTTTTTAATTAATATAATTGGTTGAACTCTTTAATTAACACATGATTATTCTTAGGTGTTTAAATTTAACTGAAAAGTGATCCTTGTGGGAATAAGAGAGGGAGGAGATGTATATTTGCGACATGCTCAATCGGACTTGCCCCAAACGGTAGAGTTAAAAACGTGCCAAGGGATTCCAATTCAATCCCATCAGGGTGGCATGTACCAATGCCATCTCACTAGTCCAAGTGATCAGTTACAGTTCACAACTGATCATAATGATAGGATTAAGAGTCAGAGAGATCACATAAACAAGACTAGTGTCTGCTAACACTAACTGATAGAATTAAAAAGGAGAGAGAATGATCCAACATGGGTTGGGATACACAGCTGACTCATAGAATGGCAGATGTCCTAAACAGCACTCTGGCCTCAGAATCAGCCCTTAAAGCATTTGGATCTGGCTGAAGAACCCATGAGAGTATTTTAGGCATGGAAAGCCAAGAAAAAAAAAAAAAAAAAAAAAAAAAAAAAAAAAAAAAAAGCCACCCTAAATGAAAGATCTCTGTGGGTGAGATCCCAGTGGGTAGAATAGAACGGGCCATCAAAGAAGGAGGTACCTTTCTCTGAAGAGAGGAGAGAACTTCCACTTTGACTATGACTTTGTCTAAGTTCGGAGTTGGAAAACTCAAAAGGCTTCCATAGGCTTGGCAACTCATGACAAGAGCCTAGGGTGATTACTGATGTCATTTACAAGAGTTTCAATTGTTGAATGAAAAACAGGGTCACTGTGCACTTACTCCCCATGTAGGATCTGTCCTTAATGTGTTTTTCAATGTGAATTAATGCTATAAATAGTACTTAAACAGTATTGTTCACTTTGTTTTTCTGTGTGGGTGCAAGCTGTTGAAATCTTTACTTCATATATACTAAATTTATCTTCTGTATATAAACTTATTGAAAATGAATTTTGATGTGAATGGAATGGGAGAGGGTGTGGGAGATGGGAGGGTTGAGGGTGTGAGTAAGGTTATGTGGTGGTGGATGCCACTGTAATCCAAAAACTGTACTTTGGAAATTTATATTTATTAAATAAAAATTAAAAATGTTTTTTTAAAGAATACAAATTGGAAAAGATGAAGTCAAATAATTTCGATTTCAGACAACATGTTTTATATATAATGGAACCAAAAGACTCCATTGAGAGTCATTGAAGCGTTTAATTAAGTTGCAGGATATAAAGTTAACACTATAAATAAGTATCCTCTATATACCCTGACAATTCCATGGCTGAAGAAGAACTTCTAAAACCAATCCCATTGACAATAGCTAAAGAAATAACTAGATCCCCTGGAATACTTTTAAGGAGGTGGAAGATCTCTACAATGAAAGTTAAGAACGTTAAAGAAATAAATAGAAGACACCAAAAATAGAAAAATCTTCTATGTTTTGGATGAGGAGAATTAATATAATCAAAATGTCCATATTACCAAAGGTAATTTACAGATCCAATTCTATTGCAATGACATTCTTCCCAAATCTAAAAAAAAAAAAAAAATTATATGGAAACACAGGAGACCCTGAATACCTAAAGCAATCTTATACAACAATTACAAAGCTATAGGCAGCACAATAACATATTTCAGGACACACTATAGGGCAGTTATATTCAAAACAGCCTGGTGCTAGCACAAAAAATAGATACATAGAGCAA